ATACATATATAGTTTTTGAGTTTTCATGTTTATAAATATGAAATCACATGTTTCATATTTATTATTGTGTTTTAGAATATATTGTTTCGTGTTTTGAACTATTTTGCAAAATGATGATTTTTCACAAATGGGAAATGCAATTTGGAAAATTCTTTTTGTAACATGTTCATTTACATGCGCCTGATGACGAAAAAGGTGGTGTTGACCCTTCTATTTAGGGTGAGAGTGTCCCGGACGCTCTTAGCCTGAGTCCTGCTGGACAGGAAAACTATGATCGAATGCTGGCAGCGTGCTATTTCGTGATCGCTAGCGGTTCCTTGGAGAGGAGACTCCCTAGCCCACTGTCTGAAGGTAAATTCGATCGATCATCATATGTTTTGTTATTTGTTAACTTTTTCCGATTTTTACCCATGATCGATCACTGCTGCAGTTCCCGCCCTTCTTGTCTTGCTTCGAAAGCTACGTCGAAAGGGAAGAAAAGGAAGCTGGTGCTAGAACAGGCGGAAGAAGAAGTCCTGAACATTGCCTCTAAGGCTCCTTCTACGGCTAATGCTGCCGACCGCACCGGTCGACCGAAGAAGTCTCTGTCTGTTTTCTGAGTTTGGGATCTGAATCGCGGTCGACCGCGAATATTTTCGGTCGACCGCCGCGGTGTCAGATCAATCTCAACGGCTATTTTCTTAGAGCCGTTGCAGAATGGTTTTTTGGTCTTTTTCTTGGCTTTCTCTTGGCTTTGGGGTTTCTATAAATACCCCCCTTACCTATTTTATAAGCAAGCAAGAGAATGGTTTAAAAGATTTTAACAAGAGTTTAAGCTTGTTTTAAGCTTGTTTAAAGGTTTTGGTTTAAAGCTGTTTTGGTTTTCACAAGTGGAGGAGATTATCTTCTTGTTTGAGCTTCAATCTCCATCTCTCCATCTTGTTATCAATTGAGAAGTTTTCTAAACTCAAACTCTAGCTTTACATTTATATACTTGTTTGATTATCATTGTTCTTAAGCTAGATTTTATATTTGAGTTTAGTTGATTTGATTTTATTTACTCATTGTTACACACACCCACTTGAGCTTATTATATTTGCATACATAGTATATTAGGGTTGTGAGAGATTGTAACATTGAGTTGTGCTTAATTGAGTTCTCATCTATTGTAGAGAACAAATTTATATTTTGTTACATTGTGAGTGTTGTAAGGTTTTCGGTGAGCTAGAAAACCGAGTGTGTTGTGAAGTTTTCGGTGAACTAGAAAACCGACTGTGAGGAGTGACGTTGATCGGTGAGCGTTGAAAACCGATACTGTGAGGTGTAAACATTATTCGGATGAACGTAGAAAACCCGGATGTGATAGTGAATTTCTCCCCGGGAGTGGGGAGCGGAGACGTAGGACGGAAGGTCCGAACTCCGTGATCATATCTTGTGTTTGAGTGTGCTTTGGCGTTTATTTATACTTGTGTTTATATTTCTTGTCGCCATTGTCATTAGCTCATTATTTATATGATCCACTATCTAGTTCATATTGTTACCCCTTGTGGTAGTTTTATATCCTTGCATATACATATATCATATTGTATATCTCTTTAATAGGATATATCATCTTGTGTTAGTTTATATATCCCTGCATATATATATTCATCATATAGGATATATCTCATTGTTCATATTGCTTATCCTAGCTTATATAGTTGTTATCTCATTGTTCATATTGCTTATCCTAGCTTATATAGTTGTTATATTTCATACTTGCTAGGATAACTCATTAATTAATTTTAATTGGCATATAATCGGATTAGATTAGCATAAGACCCTAATCACCCCCCCCTCTAGGGTCTAACATATATGATTTAATTTGATTATAACTAAGATTTTTTTAGGATTAGGGATTTATTTAGGAGTAGAGAAATGTTAGGAATAGGAATTAGAAAAATATTTGTTTTGTAAGCCAAAATAGAGGCTATTTAAGGTCGACTAAGTACTGAGGTTTTTTATTATATTTTTTGGTGATTGAAAACTCGGGAGAATTATCAATAAAGTTAGGGTTGGTTTTCTTTGGAATTCCATATTCATTCTTCTTGGGCTAAGTATCTTGCTTGATTCATCGATAATTGCATAGAGGCTTAATGCCACTTGATTTGTCGATATTGTGAGGTTAATTGGGGCTCTCATCATATTCCTACCAACTTTACTATTATTTAATAGCTTTCAATTTATAAGAGAGAAGAGGATTATCTACAATATATTTTTTGCAAAATAAGTTTTCAAGAATTGTAAGTGCTAGTCAAATAGTTAAAGAGTTATAAGTGACAATGAATTTACGAATGCAGAAATTATTTGTAGGTGATAAGTACTAATTTTTTGTAAATTTATAACAGATGGTTTTTTTCCAACTTACACTGAGCTACGGACAAAATGTAATTTATTTATTTATTTATTTTGAGAAAAATGTATCTCAACTAGGGGTGGCAATTTATGACCCGACCCATCAACCCGACCCGACCCGACCCATTTATATTGGGTATGGCATCGATTTATGTGTCGCATAAATGGGTTCAACCGGAATTATCCACTTTATTAGGTCGGGTTGACTCCATGACCCTTAACCCTTCTGTCCGTAACCGAATTACCAAGAGACGATGGCAGACCGATTAATCCTGTGCTCTCATCTTCAAACGCGATGCAGCAGAGAAAAAAAAAGGAGAGAAGGCGCCTAGATTTTCGCATCACTGAAGCTCAGCGTGCGGAGAGCGGCGCGAGTTAGGAGAGACGGTGACGACGAAGTACGGTGAAAAGTGGAGTCGATCGCAAGAGCGACGACGAGCAACAAACGGAGATGAATATTACCTCGTTTCTCATCGCGATCTCCAGTCGCACGCTCGCGATCTCCGTCAACAATTGTCTCGCACGGTTCTGCGATCTCATCACGTCGCGGTGCGGAGAAAAGCTTGCGAAGAGAGTACAGGGGACGAGGAAACGCGCGACGTCGATGCCCGCTGAATTTTTAACTCCTCTCCTCTTTTATTCTCCATTTTCCCCTTTCACGTTTTCTATTTCTTTGAGCCCACAATTCTCTAATTTATTAATTTGATTTTCCTTAATAAAGGATTCATGACATTCGTCGCGCATCTAGACATCATTCCTTAGTGAGACCTCTTTCTGGTTGAATTTTGGTGTTTTTTATCATTTTGGTTAAATCTCTTTAAAGAAATTGTCCGTCCATTGAATGCATTAAGATAATTTAATATTCATGGACAAAAATAGAAGAGAACTGTATTAATATGAGAATGTGGTAGATTTCGATTATTTTAACTATTTTTCTTATGAAGGATAAATAAACCTTCAATTTTGACCACAACCCTTAATGTCTATTTGCCGATATGAGCATCTAAATATTTATAATCATTATGTAGAGAGCTTTGTTAACACTTGCGAGTAATCTGATTGCATGAAGAATGTACCAAAGTCCACAAATAAGACGAAATAGACATCTAGAGTTTCTCGAACAATTCCTTAGCCTGAAAATCTTATGAATTCGCTTCTTTGTTTTGATCCATTTTGAAAGTTTATACAACAACACTCACTGTCAAATTCGCCCAAGGCAATCTAGCTAATGTGTGTTAATTGGTTCATCCTAGCTGATAATAATTGTAATATTAATATGATTCGAATCGGCTGAGTAAATGGTTTATTATGAGCCTTCTGATAAAATACAATTACCTTATATCAAAAAGGTGTGATCAAACCCTGATCAAGATATTGAGCAATGATTTAAGCCTCAAATCAACTCATATAGACTGAGTCCTTATTGAACTTGAATAGAAGATTAAAAGATCCATAATTCAAATCAACAAATAGCTATTTCAAACACAACACCTATCAAGTCATGATACAATATTGAGAGTGCAACAAATCACTCGTTGCCACAGTATCTTCTGCTGTTTGTAACAATTTTCTACTATGTTAGAAGTCAAATATAGTTCAATTTGAGATCTGGCTAATTATATTTCTGTTGTCAGTCTCTGTGCTCTTGCCAAGGGGTAAAATAATAATGGTATCTATGTTGTCATTAACTATCTTTAGGTTAATGGATTTTCTATACTATCTAACAACAACCATCACAAATTTTTTATAGCACTATTTAGACCATAGATAGTGAAAGCGCTTCGTTAAAACATAATCTACTCTTCTAAGTTATTTACATCACACTATGTCGCAACACATATAATGCGCTTTGTGTTTGAGGACACTTCACGCAACTGTTAAATACACATAACAGTTCATATCTATGCATTAAACCTAGTGTCATTAATATAAACCAAAGTCCTTAACAGCTATACGCCATTCATGTTTCTTTCTCTATTTTCATAATCCCACCACCATCTTAAAACTTAAATCCATAAAGTTTTGTTTACCCATAAAAAACTGAAAACCAAAACGTGTACAGCTAAGAGAACATCTGCGATTCATCTGATTAGCTAACCAAAAAACTGTATTCTAATTTCCATATTTTGCCCCGATAAGTAGCTGATCATTCATTCCAGATGTGGATCCTTTTGCTTTCTTTTATGCGAGCTGCAAAATGTCTTCTTGCATGCATTTTCTCTTATCCTTTTTTTTCATTATTCTGTTCACAGAAACTTCTCCTTGCTCCTTCACTGGGTTTGTCCCCCTTATGGCGTGTGGATTGCCTTGCCACTGACGCCATCTCAGTGTGACCGAGCAAACTGTTGTATCTGATACTGAAGACAATCTCTTCTTCACTAATCCTCTGTTCTGTTCTTTTCCTCCCCCTTTGCATCATCGAGACTCCTTGATAGGACCTTGTCGCTTTTCTACATCTTTGTTCCAAACTGAATTCTGTAATTCCAGAGTCGACCTTCAATGCAACACGATTCAGACATGACTCATTGTATAGTTGAATATTTGTCCCACATAACCTCTTATCATCTCTTGGCCTTGAGAATCTTTCCGCTCTGTGTAGCGTTTACGCATTGAATTCATAGATGAATTGTGATTTCTCTTTTAAAGATAAAGATGGAAGCTTCTCGCTTGTAGACTGAGGCTCACTACATCCATCATGTGAAGCAAATGATGTAAATCCTTTATTTTCCTTGTCTCTGGTGTAGCTTGTTTGGCATATATTTAGCAAATAATTGTAAAATTGTCTGTATGTCCTAATGTTGCCATACATGTTTCAGATATCATCACTGAATCTGTTGAGGGTGATATCAGATCAAGAAGGAAATCCAATTGAGGAGCTCAATGCTGGTAGAATTTGCGACTGGTTCTTGAAAGACAAGCTCAAGAGGGAGCAGGACTTTGAGTCTGCAGTCCTTCAATGGGATGATTCTAACTTCCATATCTAAGTATTGCTTGAAATGCAGAGAGCTTGAAATGAACCTGTTTGTGAAATTGGATTTGTTGCAGAGAGCTTGAAATGTACATGTTTGTGAACCTGTTTAACATTCTAATGGGAGTAATCTTGCTCCAATTTTTTTTGATGCATATGTATATAGAATGACATTTTAATCTATTTTATACAGATAATTATTGTTTACTTAAAGGGTTGTTGGAGCTTGTCTTATTTTAGCAATTTTAATTGAGTTGTGCGCAGAATTTAAGCCCAAGTCCTTACAGAAGTTGGTGCTGCCCTGAATGCATATTTAGTTTTCAGACCTGGAAATTTTGGTGTTTTATTCTGTGTCAACATCTACTTTTTCTGGATTTCATTATCAATTTAATATTCAAGAAGCAAAGGAGAAAGGAAATGTCATTGTTTGTATTCTCTGTTTGTCTTATTCTGTTTCAGTTTTAGTATTTGGTGGAGAAAATCACTTAAAAGAGTAACCCGTTTAATATTCAAGAAGCAAAGGAGAATGTCATTGTTTGAAAGAATTTCACTTAAATGTTTAGTATTCTCTACCATTTGGGTTATATGGGTCGGGTCGGGTAACCCGTTTAATAAACGGGTTGGATCGCATTGACCCATTTATTAAACGGGTCGGGTCGGGTCACACTTATACGGGTCGGGTCAAATTTTATATGGGTCGGGTCGGGTCGGGTCGACCCGTTTGCCACCCCTAATCTCAACCAAATTAAAAAAAAGTAAAACTTGAGTTAAAAAGGCGCATATTGAGTACCCTTTCTTTTATGTACGAGAACTAAATCATTACGACACTAAAAAATATAGAAAATTATAACTCTTTATATTCAAACCAACCATATAATTTAAGTGCTGGTTCAATACACTGTAATTGTTATATAATAAGATAGACCAAAGAAGTATAACATCGAGACATTTCTCTTATATGGATTTCTTTTTTGGTGTACACAAATGGAAAATAATCAAGTGTCTGAAATTCATTAGTTTTGGCTTGGGGATTAACAACTATTTTCTTAACGGATCTCCATAGGGAGCGGTGTTACTGTTTCAAAACACTGCAACATTCACAAAACAGAACATCAAGGTTTTAAATATCGGTTATCGGGGATTTATCAGACGACCAAAATCCTTATCGGATAGCGGAAATCGGGGATATATCGGGGATAATTAGTATTTATCGGAGTGATATACTGGACAAGGTTTTAAATATCGGCCGACATGTCCGACATGTCGGCCGACATATCGGTTTGAGGGCTTGACCGACACAACATTGACGTTTTTAACTCGTATGTCGGTTTTCAGGGCCAAATCGGAAATATCAGGGTCATATCGGGCATATCGGCCTATTTTTTAGCTTTAAAAAATCGGCTGATATGATAATTTTTTTAAATCTATTTTTTGTTATCGGGTTTGGGTTTAGTGATAAATACGCAAACCCGTTTGACTCGTTCTCATGTTTAAGGGTTTCTTATGAACCCGATAGAAAGAATTTATGAATCCAAATCCATATATTATTTACTTTTTTATATGTTTAGTCTATAGAATTTATAAAGTATACTTATATTGAATTTATGAATGCTTAGATTACATTTAGACCATGATATTATACATATGCGCACTACCCGATATGACAATCCGATATTTAGTCAATGTCCCCCGATATATCCCCGATTTTCGCTATCCGACATGGATTTCAGCCATCCGACATTTCAAAACCTTGACTGGTGATGATGGTGTATATATAATATAACGAATTAAAAAATATAATCTAATCATCCTTAATGAAATATAAACATACAAAATAGTAAATCCCATCATGTTTAGGATCACTAACAAATTGTTAGAAGCGAAACTTGCGATCATAAGGCCTGTAAAAAAATAGATCTGTTAGTCACAAATGGTCGCCGATAATCCGGCAATCCCGATAAAAAGTTATTACTTTCGGCCGATAAGTCCGATAACGCGATAAATCGCCGAATAAACCTACAAAATGATAACCGATATAAAAATCCAATTTATCCTAGCGCGAGAGGCTCCAGATCCGATAACGGCGGCGATAATATCGATATCGGCGGCGATATTTAAACCAGTGCAGAACATTAGTTCAGTGCATTATATGATATACGTGAAGCTAGCGTAGGTACAATTATCATAGAAATTAAACGATGTCAGTGTAGTGGATAGCCAATGTGGCGAACCGTGGTATGATCCAAATGCGTTGAAAAAGTTTCAAATATGACTCATCAAGATATTATCGTTAGATTCCGCGTAAAAAAAGGGAAGTAATGACAATTGGGCCGTTTTGAGATATGATGTATGCCAGTTGATTATTAGTGGCTATGTTTATATCCATTATAAGCATAAACGTAAGTCTTTTGCTAATTCCATACCTCACCAACGTACCCTCAATTCTGGCCGAATGCCAATGGACTTAAAAACAGAAATGAAAGACATAATAAAGAAACTATTTAAGATATGAAAGGATTGGATACCCTGTGCTCCTATCCATGCAAAAGCAGGGAGTGATTAATAACTGTTAAATCGTGACACTTATATATAAGTAGTAGTGTTTGGATAGCCATTAAATGTTTTTTATTTTTCTTTCATCGTTTTTTGCCAAAATATAACATCATGCATTAGAAAACGCATGGTATTTTTTGAGTTAAAATCTCCTGTTAACTAAAAATATAACACTTGTTTAAAATAGCAAGTTTAGCGTGTTTTGGGTTTGGTGTCTCAGTTTTTGAATTGTGAGAGGATGGTTAATAACAATATCTAACATAATATATCATGATAACTAATATAATTTATTATGCAACATGTTTATTATATTATATTATCTTATTATATTAATACAATATGTTGGTAATATTTTAGTAAATTTAAATAAATATACTAAATATATTATATAAAATAAATATAATAACATATTAATACTCTAATATTATCTTTAAAATTAGTTTATTAATAATAATAATAAAAAATAAATATAATAAATGATTAAATAATAAATAATAACACTATACAACAAAATAAGTAATTATATTAATAAAATTTTTGATAATATTGTTAATATTTTCAGTAAATAATATATAATATATTAATAGAGTTATGAAATGGTATAAGCATGATAGCAATATATATAAACATAATATAATGACATATTACTTAGGTTATACTATATAATAAATGTAATATAGGATTATAAAAATACAAATAGATAAGTTACGATAAATTGAATATAATATATTATATCACTAAAGTAATTTATTATATAATAGAGCTAATGATAGTCTTAACAAATATTAAATGTAATAGATAATGTATTCATAAATATAATAAATTTATATCATAAATTATAATATGCTTATTAAAGTATATATTCTAAATATATTTTACAAGGGTTAAATATTAATAATAATATAATATTTATATACATATATAGAAAGTAATAACTTATTATAATTATATTTAATAATAATATGATGTTTATATAAAAACATTCGATGTTATATTCAAAATATATAATATTATAGCAAATACATAAAAAAATTATGTTTAATAATATTGTCATAATTGTATAACAATAATACAATCAATACCTAAAATAATTATAGTATATATATATATATATATATATATATATATAATAATCAAATACTAAAGCAATTAGTGGATTAATATTATAATATATTATAATGCAATATATTGTTTTATATTTAATAATAATAATAATATAATAATGTAAAATAAATATTATAATATTTTGATTATAATATATTCTATTATAATTTAAATTTAATAGTATATTTAATACTATTATAATATTTTGATTTTAATGTATTCTATCATATTTCATATTTAATAGTATGTTTAATAGTAATGCAGGGCATCTTGCCTCATGTTTTCGATTAAACATAAATACAATGCTGAAAACAATAATTTTTTTCAACTTCAATAAAAGCAATTCAACCAAATTCAACATTTATGATGTAATGTTCATTTATGATTTATGCAAATTTTTATGATTTATGCAGAAACATACAGAAATAAACAAAGCAATGTTAGCTTATGCTTAGCACGGGGTAAATACTAGTACTAATGTTATAGGCCAACTTAGCATCGACCAAATACACTCACCGTGTTGTTTTGCAAACACTTTGGGAGAACACAACACCATTGTGTTTTTTTAGAAAAACACAAGGAGGAAAACATCATGGTAACCAAACGAAGCCTAAGTTAATAATTTGTGATCCATCTTGAGAAATGTAGCCTTGAGTGCGATATGCGAGGGATATGATAAATGTTAAAGTTAGAAATGAATTGCAATCATTGACTTATTGATGGACAGTTGTGATTGAATTTAGTGGTTCCTTTACTACTTTTTGACAAAGTAACGAAACATAAAGTATATATTTCTTTTGAAAAATACATTATGGATCTTAGAGGGATTTTCAAATTTCAAGTGAGAGCCATGGCAAGTTAATATCTTGTATCATACACTCATGCACCACATGATCTCTCATACGACTATTAATGATAGTCTTAAACAAACTCGAACGTTTGTTATACGGGATAAATTTCACAAAATATCATAAAGTTATTAGGATCTTTTCGCAAAACTATCATAATTTTTTATTATTAAAATACTAACTTCTCAAAATTCTAAAAAATTTTAATGTGTATAATTATTACTCTAATAATTTTAACAATATGTTAAAAATTCTAACATACAAGACTGAAATAAAAGACATGTCGATTATCAATGTCAATTTTCTTTTCCACCGCACCAAAAATTTTAGGTTACACTAAGGATTGAAGGTTATAATTTTATACTCGAACATGCATCCACAAGTTGATAATTCTTTTTATAGGCCAAAACCAAGACTCACGAAGCAATATCATTTTTTTTCAAAATTCTGCTTTAAATTCATAGATGATGGGATATGAACCTAGATTGCCGTGATACCATTTTAAAGGTCTCTTCCACTACACCAAACCTCTGAATTTATTGTGCGGATTGATAGTTATAATCTTACTCGAACACACATAATACGAACCTTATCAGAACATATTGCATGTGACCAGGATATTCTAAGCCATAACCAATAACATTTGAAATGTCTAAATTATTCCTGCTAGTCCAAAACATTCTGTTCAAGTGTTACATGTTCTGATGAAAATTGAGACCCTATCACACAGTCCCCGTCAAAACCCAGCAGCGGATGGGTATTACTGACCGACCCAGAGGCATGAAAACATCCAAACTACCTCCTGCTCGACGTCTCGAGGACTCAAAATGACCCGCACACGTTTTGACGAGATCCGGGCCACCCGTTGTAAGAGTTCATGGTCGAAATAGAGCGTCTCGTAGTGCTCCAAGCGGCCTTTTGGCAGCACTATCCCCCGCAAGTGCTGGACAGCACGATTCCAACGACCGCTGGTGGTGCCAGCAGTAAGTGGTGGTGGTGGAGTTTCTATTCCCTCTCGCCTCATTCCTACGCTAACAGCCAAAAGGCATCCACCCCCACCAACACAAAGCCTAAACCGCACACATTCACTCAAACCCAGTAACACTATAAACAAATCCCAAAAGCCAAAATGCCATCATCATCATCCGATTTGACAATATCTCCCCTCCTCCCACTTCCCCACTACATAAAGGCTCTTTGGGTCGATGCAACGTATAGTTATGTGTAATTCAGGGTCAATAACTACAATTCGAATTGTACCTAAGTAGACAAGGCTTGACACATGTCCTTTTAATTTAACGTCATTGCCCGGTGTGCCGCTGACGTGAGACACACCTGGACCACCACGCTGGACAACATTGTGGAGACGCAACATCTCACGCTTACCTCTATGTTTAGAGCTAATTGTAGATGGACCCCATGTGCTATCGCCAAAAAAACGAACTTACTACCCACGTAGTTCTATTGTTGTAGATAGACCCCCTGACAGAGTTATATGATCGCAAATAGAACCCCTGAGTTAAAAACCTGCTGTCGCAACTAGATCCCGCGAAAACAGTCAGAAAATTTCACTCAGGGAGCCTATCCGCAACAACAGAATCATAGCTAGGGACGGTAAGTTCGACTTAACAATAGCGCAAATATCCACAATTAATACTTATACTTATTAGTCATAGTTAGTTAACCCTTCTGCCACCTTAGTACTCCACGAGCGCCTAGGAATTTTTCCAGCCTTATAGGCAGCTCAAAAATATTCCCACAGCATATAATTACAACCGTGACCTTGCTTTTGTGGGGAAGCAAACGGGCTCTGGGTTCCAAGGGCTAGAAAGCCGAGACCTCCTCCAGTCCATGGATACGAAGAGATGGAAGGCCAACCCAAAGAGCAGCAGCTAGAAGAAACAGCCTCAGCAGCGCCGCTGCCGCCAAGGCTCAACCCAAAAAGAGACGAGTGGAGCGAAGGAGCAGTCACTTGCCTACTCGAAGCCTACGAGGCCAAATGGGTCCTCCGCAATCGAGCCAAGCTCAAGGGCCAGGACTGGGAGGACGTGGCTAGACAAGTGTCAGCGAGAGCGGAGTCTGGATCCAGCAGGTCGACCAAGACGGCCACGCAGTGCAAGAACAAGGTGGAGTCGATGAAGAAGAGGTACAGGAATGAGGTCGCCGCTGCGGGGAGAGGGAGCGGGTCCAGGTGGCCGCTGTTTTCGAAGCTTGATGGGCTCGTGAGGTGCCAGTCGGGCTCAAGAGCGTTGGTGGTTGCTGATGACAAGATTGCTTCTTGTGATCAGGGGGCTGAAGAAGAAGAAGCAGCCACAGCTGTTCAGGCGAGTTCATAATTGTAGCTTGAATTCAACTCTTTAATGTTGATGTTCATGTAGACAAAAATCATTGCATATTAACTAACGAATAGTGAATATGTGTGATCGTTAATTTCAAAAAAGGATGTGAAATATGGGCTAGCTATTGAATCTGATTCTCTCCACAGGATGTTTTCCCTAAGATATTAAACAATGTGATGGCTTCAACTGAAGGTTTATACTAAGAGCATGTATGGCAAATTTGGATTATAATTAATCTGCTTGACTCATTATCCATTTGTGGATTATATTCGAAGTGTTTGACAAATGTAGTGGATTATAATCCATTTCTAATAGTAGGGTGTTCGGCAAATGAATGGCTTAAAAGCCATCGTTGTTGGTCAAATGATCAATAAACATTCAATTTCAATGAGGTTGAAGAGAGATAAATAGGGCTTGGAATTTTGAGACATGGTAAAGGGTATATTACTCTTTTACTTGGTCAAACCTTGTAGCCTATAAGCCATTAAAAAATAAGCTAGGATACTCTAGTTTACTATTTCATGATTTATAACCCAAAATAATCTATTTGTCAAACATGTCAAAGTGGCTTATCACTTGCCATACATGCTCTAAGATTAGTGCGAGGAAATTATAAATAACAAGATATGTGAGGAAATTAAAACTTGTAAGGAAAAAAAAAATGGTGATGTAAATATATATTTCCAAAGATCTTTACAAGATACGCATGTAAATATATATTGAGTTGTGAAATACCCAAAGTTCAGCTAATTATGAGAATCTGATATAGGTATTAACATATCACAAACAGAAAACGATAACATGAGCAATTCATTTGGAAACCATTTGAATGTTCTAATTTTTTAAAAATCCATTTGTCCATTTGAGATAAAATAAAATAAATTTATTGAAAATCTGAATCCCAACTTAGTGCTACATAAGTAGAACTTTATTTAGTTATTGTTATCGCGAAGAAATACTTATACCCGCAGTTAGCATAGCAGTATTTCAAGAGGTAAACTTGCACCATTTTTTCCTGTAGAAGCAGAGTTTCACTTACCACATACTAGAGGTCCACTCACACAGTTAAAATTTGTGCAACCTACTCTCCAAAAAAAAAATTCATCTTTCATGATTAATATTTCAAAAGAAAATCCGAAACTAAGAACTTGATATACATTTATCCCTGCGTAGGCATAGACTTCAACTTAGAGCAGATAAAAAGTCCCTTCTAACAACTAAAATTTGCGCAATCGTACTCCACAAAAACATGATGGAAATATACTGAATGTGCATAACCTTCTGACTTATTTCTCATATCAAATCTTAGGAGGAATATACTGAAGGAGACAAAGAGCAGCCTCCAGAAATGAACAAAGAGCCAGATCAAAAAGTACAATCATGCAATTCTTCGAAAGAGACCCAACATATACAAAGAAAGAGGGAAAAGAGGAAAAGAACAAAGGAAGAAGGGTGTGAAGTTGCAGAGAGCATCCGATGGCTCACTGATGCAATCCTGAGAGTGGAGCAGATGAGAATGGAATCCATGAGAGACATGGAGAAAATAAGAGCAGAGACGGAAGCAAAGAAGGCAGAGATGGAACTCAAAAGAACTGAAATTCTTGCCAACACCCAGCTTCAGATTGCCAAACTCTTTGCTAAGAAGAGCAATGGTGACAAAGCTAATTTTTTAGCCTAGAAGAGAACAGATTGATGATTGCTTTTCTTAACTTCTTGATGATACTGCAGTTTTATAAGGGGTAACTGCAGACATACTCTCTAGTGTACTATATGAGCGTAACTAATTATGCTTTCTATTATATTAACACTTGTGTCTCCTGGATTTCAGACGATGTTATTTCTTAGTACTTTGATATTGCATGTGAGAATCACATGACGATAAATAACCTTTTCCCCTTGATTTGGAGGTGAGTTTAGTCCCTTTTAAATTTAAATGAGGGCAAACAGAGGTAATCTACTGTCATGTGATTTAACATAACATAATGTCGTCTGAAACTCAGGAGCTGCTAGTGCTAAACAAAATAATTTGGAGATATTGATGGTCACACCCTCATAGCACAAGGAATATCTGCAAATAAGTCAAATTTTATCTGTGTGGAATTTGAAGAAGTCAAAAATGAAATAATGATCATGTCTCAATCTTCTACTTAGTCCTTAATACAACCAGGACATAACTAATTGACAAATTTTGCAAAGACAAAAACAAAACGGTAAAGAGAGACGAGCAACACATTACTCGATATCGTTGTAGTTGATTATCCAACCAATATTTTTGGCACGGGATAATACCAATCTAAATCAAACCAATTAACTATGACCCCTTTCCACGGACCTAAATATAACTATGCCAATTTAGAAATAGTAAGGACGGCAGTCACTGAACCTCTTCAATAAGTCTCAAGTAAGAGGCTCAAATTTGAATTTTTTTGCTAGATCCGTCAACTAAGAAGTTCGTCTAATCAATTTTATTTCCAGGCAAATTGTTGGGACAAACCCGGTGCCCAATAGAGCAAAGTCTCAGCGAATAGTAGAGTAGAAGTAATAAAAAGAACACACAGATTTACATGAAAAATCCCCTAAATGAATTTGTGGTAAAAACCCGGGGTAATGATAGAATAATCCATTATAAAGAAAAACTTTGGAGTTACAATCTCTTTTTACAAGGAGAATCTCTCTCTATTTCTCTCTCTTATTTTTCTTTATGTGGAGTTGTTTCTGGGATGGATTTTTCCTGAAGAGTTTTGGGCCTATTTATAGCTGCTGGAAAAATACTATTCCTAATTTTATAATATTTTTTCTTTTACTGTGCTAACTTTTCGGTGCCCGTTTTTCACTTTCGGTGCATTTATTTTTGTGGGGCCCACCACCATTTTGTTTGTCCACAGTTGCTGCTGTCAGTAATTACGGCTGACAATCTCCCACTTAAAAATTTGATTGAGTATCAATCATATATTTACATCATTCTTTCTATCTTATCATCTTCATGTTGCTCACGTCTTCGACAGACCACAAGAGGATCGACACCAACTAAATTTATCAGTATTGACTGCTTTTATCAAAAAATCTGCTAGGTTATCTTTGGTGTGAATTTTCTGCATATTCACTGTTCCTTCTTCCACTTTCTCACGAATGAAGTGGTGCTGAACTCGAATGTGTTTTGTCTTTGAATGAAAAGCTGGATTTCTTGCTAAATGCAAAGCACTCTAACTATCACAGAATAGAGAAATCTTATTTTGTTCATGCCCGAGTTCCTTCAACATCATGTTCAACCATATTGCTTCTTTACTAGCTTGTGTAGCTGCTACATATTCTGTTTTTGTTGTTGAAGTAGTCACAACTGACTGCAGTTTTAAAATCCAACTTACAGCTCCTCCAGCAAGTGCAAACACATAGGCTATGATGGATTTGCTATTATCAGGATCACCTGTATAATCAGAATCAACATATTCATTGATAATAAAATCTGATCTCCTATAACATAATGCAACATTTGAGGTTCCATTAATGTTTCTTAGAACCCTTTTACAGCATTCCAATGCTCTTTACCAGGATTCGCCATGTATCGACTAACCACTCTCACTGCTTGTGCAATATATGGTCTTGTACAAATCATAGCAAACATTAAACTTCTCACTGCTGATGCATACGGTACTCGAGACATCTCCATCCTCTCTTCTTCACTGCTAGGACTCATAGTGGAGGATAACTTAAAATTGACAGGAAATTAGGTAAAAATTGACTTACAATTTTGCATGTTAAAGTGTCGCAAGATTTTCTTCAAATAATTCTTCTGAGAAAGCCAAATATTTCTATTAATTTTGTCTCGGTAAATTTGCATCCCTAGAATTTTGTTTGCAGATCCTAAGTTCTTTATTTTAAATTTCCTAGCCAATTGTGCTTTTAATTCTTTGGTACGATCTTTGTTGGGGCCTGTAACCAACATGTCGTCAACATACAAAAATAAAATAACCAAGTTATTTTCACCAAATATCTTAAAATATGTACAAGGGTCTGAATTAAGTCTGTTGTATCTAAGACTCATGATGAATAAATCAAATCTCTTATACCAACACCTCGGTACCTGCTTTAGACCATACAGAGATTTGTTCAATCTGCAAACCAAGTTCTCTTTTTTCTTTTTCTTCGAAACCTTCTGGTTGGAGCATAAAATTTTTTTCTTCAAGATCTCTATGAAGAAATGTTGTTTTTACATCTAGCTGCTCTAGATGTAAGTCAAATATAACGCTTATATTGTAAATCGAACTACAGGAGAACATATTTCATTAAAGTCAATACCTTCTTTCTGAGTATATCATTTTATTACCTTAATGACTTCTTTTTATAGAGGGTTATCTTAAGCTGCATGACTTCTTTTTATAGAGGATCAGAAGGGCAGATAGGTAACTTGAGCCGAGTCTAGACCGGCAGCTGACTCGATAGATAGCTTACAGGTGTCGGCCGCTAGTGAAGATGAGCCATCTAGGTGTTTAGTGCCGAGCGACAGCAGCTGCTTGGTGCTGGCGAAACCTAATAAGTCATAAAGACTTTGGGGACTAGAGCAATGATGACTTTGTCAGAGCAGTTAATGCAAGGGCAGATGGTTGTTGGCGCGGGGTTCGAGAAAACTACCATCTCTTCAGTCGTCTGACTGATGGCCGATAAACACTGCCTTTTTAGTTACGCAAGTTGTTGGTTGATATAACAGGTCGAATGTGGGTTATTCGCAGAGGCGTTTGGTTGGGTTGGACGACAAGTACCACATTTTTACTCGGCTATGCAGGTTGTTAGCCAATAGTGTTGGCCGCATGGGCCGCTCAAGTCGTCCGAGTTGTACATAAGTCTGATCAGGCGTTGTATGGGACACGTGTTAGTTTCCCCAGGGAAGTTAGTTATTTCCAAAGTACAACAGCAGTAAAACATCGTTGTAAGAAGCCAACTCGTTACACAACTTGCTTACAAGATGGCAAACCTTGGGAAAGCGATTTATGTACCAAACGATGTCATCGTCGAGATTGAGGATGATCAGCATTGGCCATGATCAGCATTGGCCTTCAATCGAACACGATGCAAGCGCAGGTCATCGACAGTGAACCACTGCTTGGATTCGTCGAGCACAGAATCGAGACTTTGTTGCATCTCCTCATATTTAATCAATTTCCGATCTAGTTCCCAATAGAGACGTTGATTAATGACGACGAGAGCTTGGATGCGCACTTGAATCTGACTAGGTATTTTAGTGGGAGCCGGTCAAGAATCTCCTTCAAAATCACGATTGGGATGTGGGTCTCCTCCTGTGCCTCCTTTTGCTTCTTCTTCTGTACTTCAGTCTCCTCCTCCATGATTCAAAATTAACACCAAGCCCTAAAACCTTTTCCAACTTCTGACACCCTCTAAAGCCCTAATACCTTCATGTACTGGGATTCCACACAAAAGGAGCTTTTCGATAACTTTTGCCTAAAAAAAATCACCTTGGGGTGTATTGACACGAATAGAACTTCTTGGAGTTTAATCGCAATTGGGCGATACTAAGGGGACATATTCCCCATCAGCCTAATTACCCTGATATTATCCAGGCATCTCATAGTGATTGGTCAAAATTCAAGAAATCTTGTTACGCTGTCCGTCTGCTTTTTTTTAGTTTATATACCAAATATACCTTTTGCCTTTTAATAATGATTAGTAAACACAGTTCTACCAAACACTTTAAATGTTTTTTAAACAGTTTTTTATATTTGATTACTAAACAGCTATTTTCAATAGCTTATACTCCCTCCAATCCAAAATGAATGTCTTTTTAGTTAAAACACACAAATTAAGAAAAGGAGAAAGATTACCCATATACCCTCATCCTAGTCTAAAGCTCCTCGTACAAACAAACGAAATTTAATGTTCCTCCATCAGCTTTTAAGCTTCATCACGCTAGAGTACTACATCAATACTCATGAGTTATAAATTTGGAGCCTAAAATCTAAATAAATTTGGAGCCTAAAATTTATTTGGAGCCTTTCAGCTTCCTCACGTTTCAGAATTTGAATTTTTTAAATTTTTTAAATCAAACCAAATTTAAGCAATTCTGAAAATTTGGAGCCTAAAATCAAACCAAATTTAAGCAATTCTGAAAATTCAAATTTTTTATTTGGAGCCAAAAAACTAAATAAATGGAGCACACCACATTATCCATGCCATATATTGAAACATCCAGGAGAAGTGACGCTTGGGAAGAAGCTACAGTAATAAATTGCTTTTCTGAGTTCTATGCAACAGAGGGATAGAAATGGAATAAGTAGCAAATTAAGCCTTGGATATTGTAAAGCGACCAACTAAAATGGATTTTGATAAAAAGGCTAAAAAGACATTCATTTTGGATTGGAGGGAGTATAAGCTATTTCTATATGTTGCTTTTATAAGCAACTTATTATAAGCTCCAGCAATATCAAACTAGCCTTAGTATAGTTGAAACAGGGACCGATAAAATATTTTTTCTATGAATGATAATCTTTATAAAATTTATATGAAAAATCTCTTAATAGTAGGACTCACTGAATAAAGCAATGTTATATTGATTCACTTAACTAATTGTAGGTGTTCTTTACAATCAAGAATGGAGAGAATCCCAACCCTGATTGTGCCACGTCAATTTAACCGGAAGAAATTACAAAGTATATACTTATGAACTCAATTAGACACACAGAGCTTGAAACTTCAAGGGTTCAAGTTCGTCTTTATTTACGAACCTAGAATTGTGACAAACGTTAGTTGAGCCATCGCAATGCTCCGTCAGGGGAAAATGACTACATAACGCAAATTTAGTGATCAATACCCTTTACACTCACAGAGACATATCAACAAACAGATAGCGGTCGCTAATAAAATCACCCACTAAACGACTTTCAAGAAATAACGAAAAAGAAGGAAGGAGGCTTCACTTACTCAAACATCCCAATCCTCAATCAGAGCATCGATATCAGTCAACAACTTATCATTGCAACCAGCCAACTCATCGCGCAGCCCGGTTACAGAATCGCGAAGCCCAGGCGAGCAATTTATGCACCGGCTGACGTCGTCGTCGTCGAAACGCAGGACGCTCACCATCTCGTCAAGCTTGGCCTCCAGGCGAAGCTGCTTCAACTCGTTGAACGGGAGGCTTCGTCGGATCTCCCTGAATCTGCTCAGCTTCCGATGCCATTCCTCGCGCAAGCGCTGGGAGATGACGAGACTGATCGAGGAGGACCAGAGCTTGGACACGCACTTGAATCTGGCTAGGGATTTGAGGGGGAGGCGGTCGAGTATCTCCCTCGCGATGTCCATCGGAATGTGATTTTGTGACGCCTCACCAGTCGCCTCGTTCTTCATGGTTCAAAGATGTCGGCGAGATGGATAGTTAACGCCGACCCTTTCCAACTTCTAAAGCGCTTTAAATACCCCAAACTTTCCTCCTTTCTGAAGCGCTGACACCCCGAAAATTTCCTACCCCAAAACCCCCCGTTCCAACTATTCACACTCCCAAACAGTAACTTGGGGGTGTGAGGACTAAATTGCCCTTCTCCAAAACCAAACCAGGCAAGTTCAAAAGGGTATTTTCGGCAATCTAACTCTCAAAGTTACTGTTTGGAAGTGGATATAGCAAACATGCCCCCCAACCCACCAAAAAATAAAAAAAATTCCGAAGCTAACAATTTTTTACGTTGGTATCCCAAACTTCAACAAAAATTTAACTTTTACACTCAATTTTTTTTCTTTTTAAAATTTGGGCATCAAAGTGCAAAGGTTTCGTATAGGGTATTTTTTTTAGGCACAGAAAAACTTTGCGGCATCAAAATTTTTTTTTTTTGGAAATTTGGGTTATTTTTTGGAAAAAAAACTTTGGGCCTTTTAAGTTTAAAATGAAGTAAACTTTAGGGTAACTTAAGTGCAAATAACCCTTATTATTTGATAATTATTTCAGAAAATCACATTGCAATGTTAGTCTATGCGGTGACGAGAAACTTTAAATGCATGTGAATGTAATTACCTTTTCAAGTACAAGAGACATAATTTCTAAAATTTTCCCTATCATTCGTGTTATTTGTAATAATACAGGGAGCGCGTTCGACACTTACAACAAAAAAAAAAGGTCAGCTAGATGGGGGAGCAAGCACTGCCGAAGTTGAGAGGGGTCTTTTGAAATTAGCTCCCCAAATCTTCTTTAAGTACTTTGAAATTACTACTTTGAATCTTTTGACAGCTTTGAAATTTATCCCTATATTTATCGCTAGATTGAAGGACTCGAAGTACGTGTTCCAAAACGTGAAGATTCAGGGGAATAACTTCGGGCCTAAAGATTTAAGGGGCTTGTTTCACAATATGAAGGATTTGGGTGGACTGATACGAAAAATTCCATTGATGTGACCATGCTCGGTGCGTTCCGGATTTCTGTAGACCGGGGTCTTTTAGCTGGTGGAATCATTTTCCCTAACATTTTGAATCATGGAAGAGCTGGAGGAGGCGATTGAAGAAGTACAGAGGAAGAAAAAGCAGAAGAAGGATATAAAGATCCACATCTTGATGGAGACCATGAAGGAGATCGATACTTCGTCATCGCCCCCTCTCAAAACCTTGGTGAGATTCAAATGCGTATCCAAGCTCTGGTTTCTCTCAGTCTATCCCATCGTCCCCCAATGTTTGGGCGAGGAATGGGATCGGAGAATGCACAAAGTTAGCGAGACCTTACGAAGTATGGAGGCTCTCAGTCACGAAGGGAATTGAATGAGTTGGTTGGCATCGACGTCGACGTGCTTCGAGCTCGTCGAGGTCGAGTGATGGCCAAGGCGGATGACTTGCTGAGCATTGTGGATTCCAACGATGATACGGATACAAGCCGGTGCCTAAACCATAACCAGGTTCATTGCGATGCTGCAAGTGCTGTTCGCGATAGAGTCGCGCGCCCACCTTGCTCGTGGGGATATTTTGTCCCTAGAGTTGATGATTTAATCGTTGCGTTGCAAGAAGAAGATTGAACTAGTAACGTTTCGTTCCCTCCTTTTTTTTATTTCTTCCAAGTCGGAGACGGTATTTGTCGCTTATATGTCTCTGAGAGGGGAGAACTAAATTTGAAAATTCAGTTGCAATGATGCTCCGGTTCCTGGTAGATTTGATCACACTGGTAGAAGCTCTCCGTTGTGAGAGATTAAGATATCACCGGGAAACGTTTGATGGCTAAAGAGAAAATGATCTCTATCATATTATTTTCCCATGATAATGTTGCGCGCCTATGCGGAAGCGTGCTCGCACACCGAACAAATCTGTGATCACGGGAGAAGAGAACAAACCACACACGAGCACAATTGTTTGTGGGAAAATTTGTAGTAAAAAGACAGTGAAAGAAAATTGACTTGTATTCTCTCAAAATCGATTAGTAAAAAGACAGTGAAAGAAAATTGACTTGTATTCTCTCAAAATCGATTACAATTTGAATTTCCTGATTACAAAAGAGAGGAGAATGAATTTGATTCTCCCCTTTGTTTAATTCTGGGTTCTTCACGGTAGCGATGGAATGTCTCACTCGAATGCTCGCGTCGAGTTTGCTCTCCGTTGACGATCCGACGTTTTGATTCACTAGAACGATGTCTTCTCCTCACGATTTGACGTTGTGGAGAACTTGCGTGGCAAGTTTTAGAACTCTGAACGAGTTTAGAAGAACTCTGTAAAGAGTTGATTTGAACCGAAAATCGGTTAATATGCCAAGGCCAGAAGAGAGCTCCGGTGGTCGATCTCCAGATCCGAGAATGCTCCAAATATCCTCTCTTTTGCTGCCAAGCTCCAAGGTCAATCCGAGCCAAGAAGTTCCCCCTTCGCTACCAAGTCTTCGATCTCAAAAGCCAGCCCCAACTCAATTGAGTTTACCCATATTTATAGGGAGTTAAGGGGTGTAACCGCCCCCCTTAATTCTCTCCATAATGGGGTTGAGAGGGGTGTAACCGCCCCCTTAATCCGCTCCTAAGTGGGGCGGAAATCCCTCAAATCGTGGAGGGAAAACGGTTCCTGCAACCGTTCAGCTCGGGTTTGAACGAGTCAAACGCCCATGTTGGCGTTCAGAATCCTAACTCCGCGTTTTAGACTGGAGACGCGGAGTTGGGCACCCGCTGGATGTTGAAAAACGCGAGGGCCGCCCGCGTTTGGTTTGCTGAGGATTGAAAACGCGGGGGTCGCCTGCGTTTCAAGAATTAAAACATGGGGGTCGCCTGCGTTTCAAGAATTAAAACGCGGGGGTCGCCTGCGTTTCACGAATTGGAACGCGGAGATGACTTCCGCGTTTAGAAGGGGCTAGTTGACTTGTAGCTTCTTCTATAGAGCATTGTAAAGACCATTGTTGAATGATCTTCGCTTTGGCTGCTCGAAAATACGAGAGTTGTCAGATTGTAACTCCCGATGTTGATTGTGAAGACTGTTGAACTAAAACTTTCATCGGTTGTTATGAAGGTCGTCAGATTGTAACATTCATTAATCTACATGAAAGTCTTTAAATTATAGCCTTCTGGAAGTCGTCAGATTGTAACTTTCATCATCGGTATTTGATGGGGGATCAACTATCTATTTTGATTTTTTAGACAGCCTACAGAACCCCCTCCAAAGTTTTTGAAAGTTCGCGGTTGACTGGGATGAATTTTCGGAATACTTTGGATCTCAACTCTGATCTTGGAGCTGTTGATTCCTTGTCGTAAAGGAGTCGTTCTCTGCACTCGTTTTGAATGCATCTTGGTTGATGAGATTTGCCATGCAGGACCTGTGTGAAGGTATGCATCATAATCCTACTTCTAGAATGCGGAGGATGAACCCTGCATTTTGAACTTGAGACGCGGGTCTCACCCTTGCATGTTGAATTTGGTGAACCCTGCATTTTGAACTTGAGACGCGGGTCTCACCCTTGCATGTTGAATTTGGAACACGGGTATGAGCTCGGCGTTTGGTTTTTGCATCACGGGTCTGACCTCAGCGTTTTGACTTAAGACATGGAAGTGGCTTCCGTGTATTTTTGACTAAGTCTTTAAGACTTGTCTTTAGCTCATCTGTTTCAAGTTTCGACTCACATCCATTACGCTAATGGACTTACGAACATGCATAGGATTTTTGGCAAACCCTCAGCCATCAACAGATTTGATAAGCCTTTACCGACTACTGTTTGAGTCGGGCTAGCATGTGAATTATTTGAATCCGTTTTATATGTAACGTTGTGCTAAGAGAATGAACCCTCTTAGACTTGATGCTATGATTTTGAATACTTAGACTTTGTTATTTTTACGGAAAAAGACTAACCGGCAATGCGTATTAGGTGTAGACTTATCTCTAATTAGTAATCGAGATAAAGTCCCCCATGCGTATGATGCATGGATTTTGATGTCTTTTTCACGGCAAAAGACTAACCGGCAACGCGTGTTAGGTGTAGACTTACCTCTAATTAGGGATCGAGATAAAGTTCCCCATGCGTACAAGGCATGAATTTCGGCGTTATTAATAACAACCTGCCACGATGTTGAATACGTGGACTTTGTCATTATTGCGGGAATAGGCTACCCGACAGCATGTGTTAGATGCAGACTTATCTCTAATTAGGGATCGAGATAAAGTCCCGCATGCATAAAAAACATGGATTTTAGTGCTACGATGTTGAATACGTAAACTTCGTCGTTATTACGGGAATGGATTACCCGACAATGCGTATTGGACGTTGACTTATCCCTACTTAGGATTTGGGATAAAATTCCCCATACATGCGAGGTATGGATTCAGAGATCGTTGACTTATCCCTACTTAGGATTTGGGATAAAATTCCCCATACATGCGAGGTATGGATTCAGAGATTATTAATTTAATGATAATCACTGGCTACGATATTAAATACGTAGACTTTGTCATTATTTCTTCCTGTGTTACTTGAAACACTGAAAGAAAGTTGGAAGCATCAGAGGTATAATATTAACTTGGTATGAATTTTCACTTAGAGTGAAATTCAAAAATTTTCTTTATTATCACTAGGATAATTTCAGAAAATATTTAATCCGTTGGGGATTTTATAATGAAAACTTGCTATTCTTGTTGAAAAAAGATTAACAAGTTCATTGGGGGATTTGACTGTTAGAGGTGTGATGTTAACCTAATAGTATTTTATGGGTCTATCGCTCTATTGAAGAGAGTCGATAAGTTGGTTTGATCGTCAGAGGTGTGATGTTAACTTGATTAAAATTTATGGACCTATCGCTCTATTAAGGAGAGTCGATAAGTTAATTTTGTCAGAGGTGTGATATTAACATGACAGGTTTGTGGACCTATCG